GAGAGAGAGAGAGACATTGTTACCCGAAATCCTTCGTTCAAAAATTCGAGGAGAATTTAGAATTTAGCGGAAAAGCTGGCCTCCCGGTTAAACCGAATTATTATAGGAGAATGGTGAGAACGAGCGAGGTCGAGAGAGGTTACTTTACTGGTCTCCTCGGGAAAACGGTTAATTTTCCGGCGCAAAAATTAGTCTGAAAAGGGTGTGTGAGGAGGGGAAGGAGGGGGAGGGAGGGAGGGAGGGTGTGAAAGTTCGCCTCAAGTTCGAGCGAAATAAGTGCGGCTAAAGAACAGCGTTGAAAAGTTAGCGCGGCAAACGAGGCGGTACACCGGGTGGAAAACCGTTGGGTTGGTTGTAGCCAGTTGGTTACGTGTGTTTGTTCAAGGTACACGTATACGACGACGACGATGGCGAAGGACAAGCTGGGCTCTGGGGAATTAAAAAATTTTTAATTGCAACCGTGAGCCAACGGCGTCGACCGAGGTGCAAAGCGGTTGCTAATTATCGTCTAAGAAATTACGGGGGTGTTAAAGAGGCGAGTCTCTCCGATCGGTGGAGATTTTAGGTTCAAGATTCCTGTTCCACCTCCCGTTACAATATCGAACTCTATCGATAAGACAGATCCTGTTTCTCGACAATTTTCGCATATACCGATCTACAGAAATTGTAGGTTTGATTGGTTTTGGAAATTCTGCTCCTTCGAAGAATTTTAAGCAAAAGCAAATCCAAGGCTTGTTGAAGCGGTCAGATTTTATTTTCAACGGCTCGAGTATCTTCGAATGGCATTTTCGTTTTAACAAAACAATGGCAACGATTAATTATAATATAATCTATTTAAGTCTGTGATATAAAAAAATTCTATATAACTTTCTACTTTATATGTGTATATATATTGAAAAAAATTTTACCTCTTTCAAAAAAATAATATTTCGTCCCATAACAAGCTGTTGGTTTCAGAAAATTTGTATCCGTAATCACTTAATTAATTGTTGTAAGTATACGTGGAAATATTTTTATCAAATATTCGATATGCATAATTAATCCATTGATTGCACGGATGCTTATGGATCATCTTCACAAAATTCCTACAAGAATTAGGAATATTTAAAATAGATATATGATATATCGTTATATCGTTTTTACTTGGAAAGCTTCGTTATCACGATGCCATTTTATCGTTTCTTTTTCTTAATATCTATATATCGAATGTTTTATGGTAGGTAAATAAATTTGAGTATTTAATAATATAATTTTCACTCAAATTCCTCTTTATGCTCTTTAAGCTCATACTATCTGGATTGGCATCAATATACAAATCCATTGATCATTTTAACCATTTAAAAATTCATACAAAATTTTTCCAGATCCTCGATTTCCAACAGAGATACGACAGCAATGACCACTTCACAGTTGCGACGTCCTCCAGCGCTGCTATTGATTCCCCTAACCTCCTCTCAGTTTGCATTTTCACGAAAAATGAGAATTGGAGGAAAAATCAAAGCTTACAATAGCCTTCGGATTATCCTAGATCGGATAATTAAAACAAAAATATAATAGATCAGATAGCAACGATACAATTCGCATCATTACAGTCATCGATCAAACAGTTAAAGTAAACCATCATATTATTCGCTCGAAGCTTATAATATTGGATTGTTTGAAAAGTAATTTTATTTTTTTTTCATAATGAAATACCAAATCGTTTCATGCGATCACGAACAGTTGAATTCGAACTCGTAGTAATTTCTCGAGTTCATTGATTTGCTTCGATCGGTTTATTTCGTCTTCATGTGGAAACGAAATTTCGAAAACCACTTTTGAACCACTAGCATACCACTTAATACACTTTCTCCATAGACTTCGCGTAACTTTTTTCTTGTCTGAACAATGTTCTTAACGTTCTTTTTCGATAATAAAAAAGAAAAATATGCCAAAAATGCTTCTTTTCGTCTCTAATCTTTCTTATCGCGCACGAGAAACACAACGACACAGAATCAAATTTTTCTTATAAATAAACCGTGAAATTCCAACTCTCAAAATGTATAACAACAACATAGTTTAGAACGAAGTTGGCTGTGAACAAACGTTCGACACGAGCGACGCTCGTGTGAAAAAACGAAATTACTTTGCGAACAACCCAATATAACTGATTATATAATACAATAGATGGTCCTTCCAGTATAACAATTCAAGCACTACGTCTATGCCACATATTCAAAATCAGTTTAGACTTTAACATAGAAATACTCCCCCGTTTCTTTCGCGTCACCTTTTAGCTAGAAATTCTTCGCACGTTCTTTCACGTATCCTATATAGGATCCTCGATTTCCTTGCTCCTAACGAATTCGAATTTCGAACAGTTGAAATTAATTTTCGCTTTATATTTCGCGGTTCGATCATTCGTTCCACACGCAGTCCGAAAGAGCAACGCTGTTTCCGTCCGAATCGATCAGCCATGTATATTTCCATTAACTCTCCCCTCTACTGGCTCTCGTCATTATCCTTTAGGAAATTTTTCATCATCTCTCCCTTAAACGATCCCCGAAACGATCGGTACGTAAGACCGGTACGAAATAGGACGAGGTTGGAACGTCGCTTCGGTTATAAGCTTAATTGGCAACGCGTGTCCCGACGGTTATCTCTTTGGTCGGATTACGCGTGTCCGGTATGACATTTCGGCACGGCACGAATTAATTTCACCGACAAATATTTGAGATGCAAAGGAATTAATATCCCGCGCCACTGTTTATTAATTACGATCTTCAATATTAGTCCGATCCAAATACGAGCCGTCACTATACTCGCTACGAAGTAGTTCGCTTTAGGCAATTACCTTGCCACGCGCCACGATTAATCGCCTTCGAGTCTTATACTTATAAGGCTCCCCACCCGTTCCTTAAAAAACCACCTCGATTACCCCTCGATCCGTTTATCCGATTAATTACTTTTTTTTAACGCGGTTTGTGCACACGCCACTGTGCGCAACGAAGGGGGAGGAGGAGGGAGGGGGGGAGGCGAGGCTTTTTAATCCTGGGCCGGGCGCTCGCGTCGTGTCGTGGCACGGTTAACAAGCGTCATAATTCACCGGAGGAATTTTCCCGCGTAAATAATAGTCCCCTTTAAACCTTCTCTCCCTCTTGTTTATAAAAAAAACTGTTCTGTATACATTACGGCCAGGATATTATTATTCCTGTTTGTTTCCTTTCCTTTCCTTTCCTTTTTTTTCCATTCGCGAATTTTAAAAAAGGAGGGGGGGGGGGAAAAGAAAGAAAGAAAAGAAGAGGAAGGAAACGCGTCCGTACGCGGAGAAATAAAATTGAAATTTATACTTTCCGTTCGTTTTCGTTTCTCGTTTGCGCGATGCACCGGCACAACAACCGTTTACGCTCCACCCACCGCGAGCGCCCGTGTTTTTGACACGAATTTAATTATTTTTATCGCGACCAGACAGAATTTAAGTGGTCTCTACAGGTCTCGCGCAGCCGGTCCAAAGCTGGCGCGCGAGGAGAAGCCTATTTCATATTTCCATTAGACCAATTTCTCTCTCTCTCTCTCTCTCTCTCTCTCTCTCTCTCGGCCCGTGTTCCGCTTTGGAAATGCTCGGTCCACGCGGCTGTTCCAGGAAGCTCGTTATCATTCGATACGTAAATTTCAATGCGAGGGGCTCGCGCAATTTCCGTTTTACATCGTTTCATAAAGAGGAGGCAGACGTGGCCGCCATGTACGGCTCTACTTTAGCCCGAGTTCCTCGAAGCGAGGAAACGAGCGACGACGACGAGGGGAGAAAGGAGAGGGGGAGCGAGCACGTGCTTTCGCGCCACGCTTCAACGCCTGGAACGTGACGACCGGGAACTAACTCCTCTCCCGACGACTCGTTTTAATCCTCCTCGCGCGCTCGCCTTTCGATTCGAATCAATCCTTATTTACTGGGTTGTTCGGAAAATAATTTCGATTTTTTTTTTTCATGAAAATGAAACACCAAGTCGTTTCATGCGATCATCACGAACAGTCGAGTTCGAGATCTCGTAGCAATTTCTCGAATTGTTATTCGTCGGTTTGTTTCGATCGGTTTATTTTTGTCTTTATGTCGAAACGAAATTTGGAAAAACACTTTTGACACTGATGTATCGCTTAATACACTTTCTCCATAGATTTCGCGTAACTATTTTCTTGTCTGAACTGTATTTTTAACCTTTTCGACAATAAAAAATATGCCGAAAATGCTCTTTTTAGTCTCTAATCTTTCTTATCGCGCACGAGAAATCGCACAACAGAATCAAATATATATAATTATATTTATCGATTATAAATCAACCGTGAAATGCCAACTTTCGAAACATATAATAACAACACGAAGTTTAGAACGAAGTTGGCTGTGGACAAACGTATTCGACACGAGCGACGCTCGTGTGAAAAAACGAAATTACTTTCCGAGCGACATTCTATGCTCCTGCTTCGCAATAAAGAATGCTCGATAGATCGAATCCCTATAAATCCTTGGAAATTACATCGGTTTATTTAACGAGCGACTCGTTGATCAGAGACGACGTCTACTCGAAAGACGAAGAGACGCTTTGAGCTAACGCTTATAAACAGATTTCCAGTCGAACGTGTATCAAAGATCGCGCGAGAATTCTGGCCTAGAGACGATCAAACGTGTACCTACCTATACCTATCTTCAGTTAGCCGCCACATTTCCGTTCGAGTGAACATGGGGCTGAGTCGTGAGCCGGCTCGCGCATCCCTGCTCCCCTGATTCCGTTCCAATTCCGTTCCCCTGGCCCTCGATCTGGCTCGACGAGTTACGATTGAAGAATGGAGTCAAGAATTCGACGGGCAATGGAAAGATAATGGTCGAGTTCTTCTCCGCGGATATGTTGCTCAGCGTTTGCAGATACCTTAACTGTGTCATGGAATATACACACACACATATAATATATATATACATATATATATATATATAGAGAGAGAGAGAAAGAGAGATCGATATTCGTTCGTACGAATAATCGAAGGAGGGGGACACGTTTGGGGATTGGTCGGGTGCGAGCGGAATAATTCGTTTTCTCGAATCAAACGGGACGAGGGTAATTAGAGAGAGAGAGAGAGAAAGAGAGAGAATGGAATTACAAAGATATCTTTGACGTTCCTCGAGAAGGCAGGAGGTGGAATGTACCTGAAGAGCGGCTGGACTCGTGGAAATGACATCACTGGCCTCTTTCAGGGCACGGGAAGCCAGCATCTCCCCTTCCGCCGCGATCACTTTGGCCCGAGCCTCCCTTGCGGCTTCTGCCTCCGTGGCCATGGCTCGTTGCAGCTGCACCGGAAGCCGAACGTCCTTTCTAAATCAGGAACATCCGTTCCAACTCCTTTCGTTTCTCGTCTACCTTTACCTGTCTCTCTACAACTGCTACACGTCGATTCACGAGATCCCATCGATTTTCAAGATATTCGCTTTTTCTATTCCGTTTCTCTCTCTATAAAATTATGCACGCGTTACGTATAATTTTACGATTTCCTTCTCGAAACGGGAGGAAAGGAACGATCGTGGATCGATGGAAAATTAGTTTTTCTTTTTTTTTTTTTTTTCTTACTCGGCCTTAAAAGAGAGAGGTGGAACGTCGTGTAAGAGCGGACACATTCGAGGAACGGTTTCGAGTTTCTTGGCCAAGTTCCACAGCCACGGCCGGAATAAAGAAGATTCCTTGTTTTATGCGCCCTCTTATGTGCGTGTGTGTGTGTCGCTGTCTGTTTTCAGATCGGAGCGTATGGTTTCCGCGTAGCGAACAGTCGTTTCGAATTTGAAGCGGAAACGAGTTTCCTCCTCTCTCGTCGCGATGGATAAATTTCCATTTTGCGATTGGATAAGAACGAATTTCGTTTTTCGAAAAGGGAGAGAGAGGATCTTTCTTCTTATTTTCCAACTTTTATCTACTCGCGTAACCCTTCGTCGGTATGAAAACGAATTGAAAAAGATTGAGTCGAGGTAAAAAATGGTCTGCGCTTTTTGCTTCGACTCGCCGTGCGAATCGGTCATTTTTTAAGAAACAAGACGCGTGTATATATATATATATTTCTGCACAACTGTCAAAATGCACTTTGCCACTCGTGTTCGGTCGGTAACAGCAAGAAACGCGCAAACGTTCTTTTCTTTCTTCTACTTAATCATCGACTCCACGACCTCCACACGGAGGCAGAGCTTTCGCGGGGTTCGAAGCGGGGCGGTTGTTCCCCGATGTAACGAGAGACGGGAAACATTTTTTCCCGACGATAAGTAGCGCACTTGGGCCGCGCCACGATCTCCGCGCACGGCTCTTTGACGCGTGTTTCAAAGGGTTCTTTTCACCGGATACTCGAATCTTTTCCACCCTTTAGAAAGAGGGGAGAGACTATCGGGGAACGCGGAGACGATGCGAGCATCGAGACTAAAGGGCCCTTCCTTTTCGGATACGTCTCGTCGACGGATCCCCCCCACCCTCTCACTCGCACGCCTATCGCCAGTATTCGCGTTTATGCGCGCCCGCGTACACCGAGACGAGAACACGCGCGCGCCACACTTTTCCTATTCTTCGAGGTATATTTCTTCACTTTTCTTTTTTTTTTTTCTTTCCTTTCAATTTCTTACAAGTCAGAATAAAGATTGGCGAAGAAATGCGATCCAGGACCAATCTGGATTTTATTTTCAACGCGAGCTTTTCCGCTCCTCTTAGTTTTCATTTTCACGAAAAATAATCCGATCGACGAGGGGAAAAGTCAAGAGAGTCTTTAGATCGGTTCGGTTAGATGAAATTCGGCAACGATACGAATGGTGAGGAATTATTACGGTCGTGTCGAGTTAAAGTAAACAAACCATATTCGTTCGCTCATAATAATAAACGATTGTACAGTCGGTAAATGGTGCTTCGAATAGCGTGTCACATTTGTGCAACATTGATACAGTTTTAACATCCCGTTTTTGTAACGCGTTTCTCCAGAGTGTTTTCTAATATCTCGATATATACGTCTATACGCGTTGGATACTTAAAATCGATCGAATTAATATCTTCTAAGAAAAGAAAAGGTTCGAAAATTGAAATGGAAGCGAAAAGAAACGATCACCTTACATCCGAGATAAAATACGAAATTCTCGCCGTATCGAGTCGAGCGATGATCGAGGCTGTCGATCAAGGGTTATATTTCACCGTATCCACTTCTTCCCACCGAGACGAAACGAAACGAGATTCTCTCCTATCGACGATAACGTAACGTTTATACGTTCCCATACGTTCCCGCGATGATCGATAGACGGACCATTTCTCTTTCGATCGACTGCCACCGATCTTCTTCGAAAGCAAACGCGAAATCGTCCCGCCAACTTTTTTCCCCGCTCGAGCACGTTCTCGAAGCGTCGGTTGAAGGATCGAGACGCGTATATATACATACATATATACACACACATATATGTACTCACATTTCAACGCGTTCGACCTTGACACCCCAGGGTTCCGTGGCTTCGTCGAGAGAGGTTTGCATGGTGTGGGAGATGGTTTCACGTTCCGAGAGAATTTCGGCCAAGTTCCTCGTCCCAAGCACCGTTCGCAACGTGCTGGCAGCCAGTAGCCGGGTCGAGTGGCTGGAAATATCCCGCCAATTCGCTTTTACCCAATTACGCGAAATTTCACGTTTCGACGAGCGTCCATGATTTTTTATCTCACGCGTGTAGCGTGTACACCGCGCGAGTGAAATCGTTTTTTTTTTTTTCTTTTTCCCCTTCCCCTCTAACTCCTGGTAGCGCAGGTAGGAGGAAACGAGCGTGGTAACGTTTTAACGTCGTAATCAGTGGAGTGGAGCGGCGGACGGGAGGAATTTTGATCAAAGTTGGCGTCGAGTCGAAATGAATACATCGTACAATTACACCCGTCGTCTTTTCCATAATTAAACATCGAGCTCCTCTCTCCTCCCTCCCTTCCCCCTCCCCCTCCCTCGCTCCAGTTAATTAAACGTCGTCCGCCTCGCGGAAACTGTCACGTGTGCCGTGTTTTAAAAACGACGCTGTCCTCGACGCTCGGTTAATTCTATCTTCCCCATTCCAATTTCTAATTTCGCTACAACGAATACTTTCTTCCCCCCCTCCCCCTCCCTTTTTTTTTCTATCGATCGAGAAAATTTTCTCTCTCTCTCGCGGAGATTTCTCTCAAGCCAATCGATGCGAGTTTCACGCGATTAATCAGGCTCCCCGCGTGGCGCGGCAAATTATCCGAGCAATTCCTCGAGAGGAGCCGTCTCTCTTTCTCTCGCATTTTTCTCCGCCATCGGTGATTCCAGACGACGACGAGGAAGACGACGAGGAAGACGACGAGGACGAGGAAGACGGTCTACGAGCCCCGTGATGCTAATTAAAATTTCAGAAAATGGTGTCCGCGTTAATTAACCCCGGTCGCCCGAGGAATCCCTAATTAATTTCCCGGGTCCCGACAATTTCGGCGCTTATCCGAGACGCCGGTCTTAATCTAAAGTCGAATGCTCCTTCTCTTTCTTCTTTCTTTCGCGTTTACGTAATCGAGAATAAATTCGAAAGTTTCAATTTTGGATCCCTCGATTCCTTCTATTTCTCTCTCTCTCGATCGTTTGGTTTTTTGCGCTGGTTCGGATTAAAATTGCGAACGCGGTTGTTTCTTCCAGAGAGAGAAAGAGAGAGAGAGAGAGAGAAATGGAAGGAAAGCTAAATGTTACGAGTCATTCAACGAGTTGTCGCCGGTCCTTTCGCCAACCATTCGCATTACGCGGATGAAATCTCTTTTGCGATAGCGCGCATTTCCTCGCTCGCTCCTCCCTTCGCCATCCATTAACCACGCTTGCCGCGCGCCGCGTTCATTTCGCCGAGTTAACGGCGAGAAAAACATGGGTAAACACGCGGTTATCGCCACCGCATCGTTCAAAAATTTTCACGTACGTACGTAGGATTAAAAATCTCTCAGCCAGCTCGGATGGGAAAAAGAAAAGTAAAAAGTATCGAAAGTATTTCTATACCTGTAATTGGCTATCTTGATAACGGCGTTCAACGGCTCCTTTATGCGGTAATAGACGACCGCGTCCACGCTCACCGTCACCGAATCCTTGGTGAGAACTTCTTGGGGCGGGACGTCGAACGAAACCGTCCTCAGATCGACGCGCACGCAGTTGTCCACGCATGGCATCACGAAAAATGTACCTATGTATAGAACGAACGATGAGTAAAATATGGGAGAAGATAAAAATAGATGGAGAAATTGCGAATCGAGAAAATTAAAAATAAGGGAGAATTCGTCGATTTCGAAGCGAAAGTTAGATCGATGGAATTGATGGAAATGTCCAAAATTGATCTAATTATCTAACTTATTCGTATATGTACAATTATTATCTTAATTACTTATAGAAAATTATGTATATTGAACTGTTGTTGTTACAAATTAATCTTCACATGTTGTGAGAAATAAAATTTTTATATTATATCGATACGTTAGAATACCACAGAATACTCTATGCTTACGCTTAATGCATTAAGGTTTAGATACAGATCGTTTTGGATTGGTATATGGTGATAAATGCCAACGGTAGAAACAAAAATGAGCGTGAAAATAAACGTTTCCTTGCTGTTTATTGGTGGAAAGACCTCACGCGAGACGGCACAAGGACAAGAGGGATCCGCCTATCCCCACTTTAGACGCTTTGTTGACAATCCTGACATCGCACACTGCATACTAATAGAAGAGCTACAACTCGAATATTCAAAATCGATAATCATCCAAGACTGAAATATTATTTTCTAAAATAATTATTTTGGAAATTAATTTGGAATTTATTTCTATTAATTATTTTGATTAGTATGTCTAGCTTATTCGTATACGTACAATTATTACTTTATAACTATTTATACAAAATTACATGTATAAATTAAACTATCGTTACAAATCGTAATTAACCTACACGTATTAACCTATTAAGAGAAGTGAAAAAATTTTTATATTATATCGATACTCGGATCAATGCATCGAAGTTTAGAATAGTCGAATAAATAGAAACTGTACTGTACACTGCTGGAAAGAAGTCTCGCAAGACGGAGGCACAGGGGTAAGAGGGATCCTTCGCTAGGACCGCCTACTTTCCCATTTCAAACGTTTTGTTGACACTACACACCACTGAAATATTATCTAAACTGTTAATTATCTTGGTGGTACGTTTAACTTATTCGTATACAATTATTATTCTAATTATATCGAATATGAAATTGCATTTATAAATTAAACTATTGTTATAAATCGTAATTAATCTACGCGAGAAATTAAAAAAAATTTTTATACTATATCGATACGTTAGAATACTCTGGACTACGTATATGTGACAAATGCCACGGTAGAAACAAAAAAGTAGGCGTTTCCTTTCGAATTAACCAATGGGATTCGCGCTTCCTTCCATTTGTTTCCACCACAGTAAACACGATACGGTTTACCTGGCCCATAAGCTGCGCCTTTCAGCCGTCCCATCCTAAACACGACGGCCCTCTCGTACTCTTGCACGACTTTGAAGGTGAAGCAGAGCGAGAAGGGCAACGTGACGAGCACCAGCAGGAACGAGCCTATGGTTGCCAGCAACTCGACGAATCTAGTCGTCGCGCCGATCTTCTTCTCGCCGCGTGCCACCGACGATTCCTCTGTTTCCTCCCCGAGAGCAGAAAAGAAGGGAAGGTGATATATACAAGGTGATGTGAAGTGATGCAAGAGTGACGAAGGGATAATTCGCGAGGGAAGGCGGAGGGGAAAGAGAAAAAGGTTTCGAGTTCTCCGCCGAGCAATGGAAACGATTTGTCACCGATTATACCGGTGGAGGATTTCCTTCCGTGTCCCTTTTCGTTGATACCGCGTGCAAAAGCGATCGTGCAAAGGCCTCTCTCTCTCTCTCTCTCTTCTTTTTCTTTCTCTCTCGTTCTCGGTAAATTGCGCGTGAAATGGAACGACTGCCAGAAAAGTAATTCGTCCCCCACGGCCTTTCTCATTAATTTCATCGCATCGCTTTTCTCCCGAACCTCTTCAAAATTCACCGGCCGAAATCTAATAATGAAATCGGGTCGATCGAAATGTCCGAGCAGGATGCTTTGGCACGCGATTTAATATCGGTCTAAAAAAGAAGAAAAAAAAGAAAGAAAAAGAAACGAGAGGACGAAAACTGAGGGATTCAATTCGAGCGTTTTCTTTTCTTCTTTTTTTTTCTTTTACCGCGAGCTTGGAATTCGCGAACCGTACGGCATCGCGTTTCTTTCTTTCTTTTCTTTTCGGTCTCGATATACGAAAGTCTCGTATTTTTCTTTTCTTTTTTTCCTTCGCTTTCGTCCCTCTGTTTGGCGATTTGGATTCGAAACGAACGGCAGCAACGAGAGGAAATACTATCGAGCAACGTGGTGGCCTCACTGAACTCGACGAAGCACTCGACTCCACCGCTGTCGGTTTTCGCGCATCCGTAGCGTACCATGTCGCATCACGCCAGGGATCCCACACCACTTTCACTTCCTCTCTCTTTCCAACCCTCCGCTCTCCCTTCTCCCCGAGTCGTCGATCACCGCAACGTTCTCAGCTCCTTGGCCGCCTCCTCGAACGATTACTTCGTTCCCTCCACGGCGATTTTCCTCGAAATTCTTTGGCTGGGCGCGCGGAGACCCATAGATCCCGAAGGCGGAATCCGCTTACGACGAAGGCGTTTCGGCCACTAAGAGACGGGAGGCAACGAGCGGATTTTATGGTGGACGAGGGATAAACGGCCGCTCGACTACCACCACACGCGTCGAACCACCGCAACATCGCAAACCTCTACCAAATTAACCGGTCGTCATACCCTACTCGTGAACACGGCTCCTTGTTTATGTACATAATGAGTAATTGCGTACCGTGGATCGACGAAACGCAGCGTTTCGCCGCGATGCGAGCTTCTCTGCGTTTCATCTTTCGTTCGACCGAGAGAATCCTCCTTCTTTTTCCTTCTCTTTCCTTTCGCTACTACGGACGACCATAGTCGCTCTCGTAAAACGCCACTGAGACATTATGGGCGACTATAGTCGCTCTGCATAAGACGCCACTGAGATACTACGGCTGACTATAGTCGCTTCGCATAAGATGCCGCGTATTATACGATACGACGAGCGATCGAAGTTATCGCGCATCGAGTATCTTTCAGTAAACGTCGATATTTTCTTTTTATCGTCAATTTTTTTTCTGTTCAATAAACATTTGTCGAAGCAACTCGAGGCAAGGCGATCGCTGACGATCTTTCTCGAGCACCGTGCACATTTTCGCCCGTAGCGAAAGCGTTAAACCTCCTCGATTTCTCGAAGATGTCGCCTCGAAACGATAACTTTGCATATTCGGTTTCGTCACGGATGCGATAAAGCGTTAATACCTCCGGTAATCGAGGTGTCGTGTACGAGACCACTTTATGGCGTCGTAAAAGGACACCCCCCTCCTCTCCCCGCCGTCGTAAAATCGATTTAATTTCGGCCCGCGTTAGGCTCGCGTATTATACTTTATATTACCGTAATTGAATCGTTCGTCACGGTGAAATGGATGAAATTTGAGAATTCGCCGTGGGGGGAGGGGGCCAATTTTGCCGCGTTCATTCTGCCGATGAAGGGAGGGAGGAGTCGTTAACGAGGCGAGTTTCCTTTATAGGATATGAACCGCGTAAAATCGAACACGCGTCGATTAACCCTTTACCTTCCCTTCTTTCCTCCCCATTCCCTCTTCTCGTATATTAATTAACAAAAGAGACGTCGTCGAATTAATTAAAAGTGTGAGAGATACTTTGTAGGAGAGAAAGCGTGATATTAAAGAGAATTTTTCCAAATTATCGAGGGAGAGAGGAGGAAAGAGAGAGAGAGAAAGGGGAGGAGGAAAGAAAAGATTGCGCGCACAAAAGAGGCGGTTAACTTGGAGGAGAGAGAAAAGTATCCTCTTTCCACTCGCGGATTCGTTCTTGGCTATAAAAGTCCTTGCAATGAAATAATTGCGCCCATTTACTTGCAAAGAGAATTTGAAAAAAACGAGACTCTTCTTCCCTCGAGCCTTTTCTTCGTTTATTTATCTCGCTTTCGAATTCCTTTCCGAATTCCCCCTCCAATCACCTCCAGCTATCGGCCACGAATGTAACGATCCTCGACGGGGATTAAAAATGGTGGTGGGGGAGGGTGGTGGTAAAAGTTGCGTTTTTCGTGCACAACGAAATAAAAAAAAAAAAAAACTTAACGATCGAGTGTGGCGAACGATAACGCGAGAAACGAGCGGGCCGGAGTTAGTCGGTTTTCGAATCGCGATCGATCTATCGTCTGTCGATATTCCGGAATAATCGGCCGCCGATTCCGACCGAGGAAATCATCGACGCGATAACAAATTCCCGATTAATCGGCAATAACGCGAAGAACAACGGCGCTTGTTCCGCTAATTTTCCACGTTTGGACAACAATTTTATTTCCCGTAATTTCCGCCCCGATTCGAAACACCTCTTCCCTCCCCCGTTAACGACAATTGTTACAACGTCGATGTCAATACTCGTGTATCCATGCGATTCGAAAATTTTGCGGAAAATTGAAGAAGACTAATTGGAAGAAGTAATGATTCGCCAGAAGGCGGAGAGCAATCGCTTATTTGCCCCCAAACAACATATTTTAAATTGAACGGAGGGGAGAGAGCGATAAAGCAGCGGCGAGGTGGTAATCGACTCGTGACAGCGTTTAAACACGGACGATGTTTGATTATTCTCGACCAGTCGCGTTGATTCGATAACCGTCGTCCGATTTATATTCGTCGTCCGAGCATCGACGGAATTTCCTTCCACTTTTATATTCCGGTTTTAATTTACGAGGTTCGGGGCTCCGCGTTGTTCGAATTTATCGAGCTATTTTTTTTTTTTTACTCGATCCCGACCAACGATAACTTTTTATGATACGCGGTTGCCGGCGCGAGAGGAGGGGAGGGAGAGAAGAGGGCAGAGATCGGGCTTTTTTCTCGTTTCAATTAGAAACTAAAATTAAAAACTCGTTAGTCGAAACGAAAGCATTCCTATCCTCCTGCGAGGTGGACGACCCGTTTCGACGACGAAATCGATCGACGTGCCCGGATGCTTTTTGACGTAATGCCTCGGTTTCGTTTCCCAAATATTTCCACCGATCGTCGAGTTCGAAACAAACGAATCGCTTTTCCGCTCCCGGTGTGTTAATAAGCGTAACGATATATTCGTATCGCTCTCTCTTTCCGATTTTCGCATTAAATCCGAGCGGAAAGCAGAAAGAGAGAGAGAGAGAGAGAGAGAGAGAGAGAGAGAGAGAGAGAGAG